TGGTGCTCCTAAATTACAATTCCAGGTCGCACAACAATTTTTTTTGCCGCATATTCAAGTAAAATGGTCGCACTGTAGAGCCCTGTATGCTATTGTGATGCATCTCCCTGAGATAGGGGGAAGGTAGCACACCCAGATGAAATGCAGCCTGTGTCATTCAAAGGTGTGGACAGAATGCAGACTGACCTGGGAATGATACTAGTAAAACTTAGATGATCTCCCAACTTCAGCTGAGCTTTTCCACCACTCTTAGTTTCTCCAAGAGGAAGGAAAAATTGAGAAATTGAGCAATCTCTCAGCGTTGTGTCCCGAGACTGGATCATTTCAGAGATCTGGAGGGCTTGAGAGCATGACTGATGATGGTGTTGAGGGTCTGACATCATTAAGACCTGGATTCATTAGCATGGAAAATAACTAGAGAAAATAAAGATGTTTTGCATAGAGAGAGAAACAGAAAGAGAGAGAAACAGAGAGAGAGAGAAACAGAGGGAGAGCAGAACAGAGTAGGGAGAGAAGAGAGAGAGATAGAAATACAGAGAGGTAGATGGAGAGAGGGAACAGAGATGGAGAGAAACAGAAGGAGAGAGAAACAGGATAGAGAGATGAGAGAGAATAAACAGAGAGAGAGATAAGAGATAAAACATATAAAGAGATATAGAGAAAACGAGAGAGGAGATGAGAGATTATATAACATAATGGAAGAGTATAAACCTATTTATATTTTATTGATAAACTATATTGATAGTATATTAGATAACACCTATAGTTTATCTCAAAAAACCGATAGTCTCTCTATAAACCTATAGTGATAGAGAAAGCAATTTACTATATATATAACACGATATTGTATATATATCCCCCGATAGAGCCAAACTATAATTCTAAACAAGCATTGATATATCTAACCGAAAAATCCTCTCTCGATATATCCCCCCTTTTTTTTTCCCTTTTTTTTTCCCCCCCCTTTTTTTCCCTTTTTTTTTTTTTTTTTTTCCCCTTTTTTTTCCCCCCCCCTTTTTTTTCCCCCCCCTTTTTTTTCCCCCCCCCCCCAAAAAAAAAATTTTTTTTTATTTCCCCAAAATTTTTTTGCTTTTTTTCCCCCCCCCCCCAAAAAAAGGGAAAACCCCCCTTTTTCCCCCCTTTTTTCCCAATTTTTAAAACCTTTTTTAAAAATTTTTTAAAAATTTTAAAAAAAAAAATTTGGGGAAAAAAAAACCGAAACCCCAAATTTTAAAATTTTTCCTTTTTTCCCCCCCCCGGGGGTTCCCCCAAAAAAATTTTTTTTTTTTTTTTTTTTTTTTTGGGGGGGGGGGTTTTTTTCCTTTTTTCCCCCCCTTTTTTCCCCCCCTTTTTTTTCCCCCCCTTTTTTTAACCCCCGGTTTCCCCCCCCGGGGGCCCCCCGGTCCCCCACACCCCCCCCCCCGGGGGGGGGCCCCCAAAATTTTTTTTAAATCCCCCCTTTTTTTTTCCCCCTTTTTTTACCCCCCCCCCTTTTTTTTTTCCCCCCCCCTTTTTTTCCCTTTTTCCCCCCCCCCTTTTTTTCTTTTCCCAAATTTTTTTCCCCTTTCCTCCCCCCCCCCCCCTTTTTTTTCCCCTCCCCCCCCCCCTTTTCCCCTTTTTTCCCTTTTTCCTTTTTTCCCCCCTTTTTAAAATTTCCCCAAAATTTTAAAAACCCCCGGGGTTTTTTTTCCCCTCTTTTTTGCGGTGGGTCCCCCTTTTTTTCCCCCCCTTTTTTTTTTTTTTTTTTTTGGGGGGGGGGGATTTTTTCCCTTTTTTTTCCCCCCCAAAACCCCCCAAAAAAAAAAGGGGGGTTTTTTCCCCCAAAATTTTCTTTTTAAACCCCGAAAAACAAAAGAGTTCAAAAAATTTTTTTTTAAGGGGGTTTTTCAAATTTTTAAAACCCTTTTTAAAACCTTTTTTAAAAAAAAAAAATTTTGGGGAAAAAGGGCCCCCAAAAAAATAAAAAAAGGTGGGGGAAAAAAAAAATTTATTTTTTGGGCCCCCCGGGGAAGGGAGAAAACCCACCAAGGAAACAAAGGGGAAAAAAATGAAAAGGGTTTTCCCAAAAAAAAAAAAAAAAACCCCAAAAAATAAAAAAATTGGGGCCCCCCCCCTTTCCCCGAAAAACCCAAAAAACAAACCCTTTTTCCCCCCGTCCCCTTTAAAAAAAAACCCCAACCCCTTTTGGTAATTTTTAAAAAAAATGGGGGGTTTTTTACCCCAAAAATTACCTTTTCCCCCCCCCAAAAAAAAAAAAAAGCTTTTTTTTTTTCCCAAAGGGGAAAACCCGGGGTTTTTCCCCTTAAAACCCTAACTTTTTCCAAACCCCTTTTTTTTCCCTTTTTTTTTGGGGAAAAATTTTTTAAATCCCCCGTAAAATTCAAAAAAGGGGGGTTTTCCCCCTTAAAACAAAAAAACCCCCCCTTGGTTAAAACAAAGAGTTACAAAAACATAAATCATATACACCCGATTGTATCAGAGTTATTAAAGACTATAGAAGCCGATTGCCTCCGGTATACGAAAACTAAAAGAAGAAACCAAGAATATAGAGATCTTTGACTTCCCGCTTCTTACATTTATCCTAGGTTTTTCTCCAGGAGTCTTCTCTCAATTTTATTCTCTCTCTCAATGTTTTTATTCTCACACATCACATACTCATTTATCTCTATAACTATCTCTCATTATCTATCATAACACATACAACCTATTAGATACTTATATAGAGACCAACTATGTTCTAGCTACTATACTCATTTTCTAATTTTCTATACATATCTTGAGATATAGAACCAAGGGAGCAGGTAGAGAGACAAGAAGGCGATAGAAGAAAAGGATGCCGTAGCGTAATAAATTATAGATCAAGAGCTAGAGGAATTATAAAACAAATGAGAATATAGCTTAGCAGCAGTTGTAGGAACCACGTGGTGGTGTTAAAAGAGTTGACAACATTTCCCGGCAGGTTTCTGAGTGCTACTATAGTGCCAGACGCCCTGGGGGAATCTTCCAGTTTGGACTTCTCCTTGGAGAAATGAGTGATCAATGGCTCTGAGTCTTTGTCCCAAATGGCACCCTATATTTAACCAGGGCCCACCACAGATCTGGGAGGCAGACTAAGCCCCTACCCATCTCCTCCTCACCACCACAATCAATCTTTCGGACAGAGAATACCCATTAGCTAAAAAACTAAGAAATTACAGTACAGCTTTTTACCTCACATCTCAATTACCCACTTATCTGGGCTCCTGGCTCGCTGTAAAAAACAAAAAAAAACAAAGTGCCTGTAGGTGAATACTGACCTTCACTCAGACAACAAGAACAGAACTCTGCAGTGATGCCTGCCTGTATGCTACTTTTCGGAGAGAGGGAGAGCCCTGAAGTGGGTCTTGCTACAACAAACACTGGGAGCATGTGAACTAATGAATCTTACCAATCACCAGCCTGTTGGCATATTCTGTTGTTTTTCTTCTACCAGGCAGGGTGCATCCCAAATGGCACCTTATTCCCTATCTAGTGCACTACTTTTGACCAGAGCCCTATGGGAATAGGGTGCCATTTGGGAGGCACCCCAGGTTATTTAAAGAAAAACAGCGGGTAGTTTGGAAGGAAACGCCCGTCTAGACACCAGCCCTAGCAAGCTGTACATTTTCCAGGAGCCCACTAGCCTATCCCACCTTGTGCTGCCCCCCACACACCACCTCCACCCTGCTCCTGAACAAAAGAGAGCAGCCAGCTAGCTACAGGTTGACAGAGTAAACAGGCCAGATGAGTGAGAAATGATGGCAGCCCCTCAGCAGAACAGGTCGCCATGCCCGAGTGCCTCTCTTTCACACGCCCAACGTCGTCTGCTCATTCTCCAGCCCTCACTGACACATGGCTAATCAATCATACAGGCCAGTCATGGTGGCCGCTCCGCTGGGCTGCAGCACTGCCCCCCAGGCAGGGAGGAGTAAGAAGCAAGACGTGCTCCGCCTCCAGGGCTATTTCTCAATCAATATTTTCTTATAATAATAATAATATGCCATTTAGCAGACGCTTTTATCCAAAGCGACTTACAGTCATGCGTGCATACATTTTTTTTTGTGTATGGGTGGTCCCGGGGATCGAACCCACTACCTTGGCGTTACAAGCGCCGTGCTCTACCAGCTGAGCTACAGAGGACCACTTCTTGATTCTTTACATCCTCTCTCCTCATCTCCTTTTCATGCGAGGAGATAGGATGCAAGTAGAAGACTCTCCACTGTCTCTACTGCAGACAGAATACGTTTCTCGCTTTCTGAAACAATGGAGGCACTCTTCACTTCAGGCGGTGTGATTTATTTGTTTTCTGTAACAATGGATGAAGTCTCCACTGCAGACTCCATGGGTCTACTGAGAGAGAGGAAGCACACATTTCAGTAAAACTCACAAAGCCTTTGACAAAAAACAAGAATAAATACTGATAAATTCCTAATTAAAATGAAAACATCTATCAAGTAGCCTAACCACAACTCATCCATTTTTGCAATCATATACTTGTCACTACATTGTTCAGCCAGAAACATTAGCTAGCTAGTTGACGTTAGCAATTAAGCTAACTATTATTGACAAGCGGTCTAACTAGATGACTAAAGATAAACCATAAAATAAAGATGTTTGTATGATGTTTATGTTCGCTTTGCAATATGGATTAGCCATGAGCCTCGACACAGACGGGTGTCAAGCTCTCCTAGCATGCTAGCTAGAGCTAAAGTGTTTGTATCAAACGTTTAATTTACCCTGTTCGGTAGAAACTTCGCCTGACGTTGAACAGTTCAACTACTCCACGTTTGGTGATTACTGTACATATAGTACGTCAATAGAAATCTATCATTTCGTTAAAATACTTTGGTACACAGTACTCCGGTGAGCAAGCTGCTAGCCGGGAGATGGCAAAAGCAAAGGCGCTATTCAATGACGTTGTCCACAATCTCACCCATTGAGAGCACACACATTAATGACAGTTTATACATATCAGTTGAATTATGATGACGTAGAACACAAGCGTCAGCTCCAGCTTTTTCCTATGCTCTACTTCAAAGCCATGCGCAAGTAGACAAATTTGACAAGATATAAGTAAGTAACGACGTTAAAATGTAACACAATTGTGCTTGTTATAGCTAGTAGTTACAATGTAAATATGTTCCAATCCCAAATAGGCTCCTGTATTGATCCGTTATTAATGTTTTTAGTTAACTCGACTGCATACCCAACGACCTTTCATACATATAACGTTAGCTAAATGCCACCACTGTTTAGCTAGCTAGCTAGCTTTAGATAAATATCGTCAAAGAATATGGAGGAATTGCTATCATATTAGCTAGCTTGCTTTCGTTTAACACTGTGTAACATGCATGATTGATATTGATATTATCGATATATAGCCAACTGAAGTAGCCAAATAGGGCCCTTTGGCGAGTAGAAAGGTGGTATGCCCTTTAATGAAAGGGAAGTATTCTAACTGGACTTTTGTGTTCTTTTTTGTTGTTGTTGTGAATTTAAAGTATTCAGTCCGGTGTAACAGTGCATCCTTTTTACAATCAGAATTTAAACTGTTAAAACATAGACCAGCAATATTCAGAGGTGTCATACAACGTGGGCATGCCAGCTGGCCCCTTGCTGTTTATGAAATATCACAGAGATACAATACCTCACTGAACACCTGTGCTACAGTTTTTCTGCTTCACTTCACGTGTAAAGACAACCATCATCCCCCCTCTATCCCTTCCACTGGACTCAGACGCCGCCCAATGGTTACATCTATGATAAACACTGAGGCTCAGTGGTGACACAAAAGAGTCATGTTTTTCATTTTTTTTTAAAATCTTCCTATAGCGTAAGTACTAGCCGTGTCTTTCAGGGAGCCAGCCGGCTGCTGGCTTTATGAAGGGAGTGATACAATCACAGTCAACCTGGGTTTGTTTAGAGAATAAAGCATGTGTATGGTCTCTGCCTTCTGGTCCTGATATTATTGATACAGTAGAGAGCTACAGACTGTATACACCACTGATGTTTCAGGTGAGGCTGTGCTGGATCCCCCTGCCTGCTTAATGTGCAGTCTCTATACACACACAAAGCAAGGTGGTATTATGACTAGAAGCCAAGCCCCTCACCCAGATGTAGGGTGTGTCCCAAATGGCACCCTATTCCTTATATAGTGCACTGCTTTTAACCATGGCTCATAGGACTCTGGTCAAAAGTAGTGCACTATGTAGGAAATGGGGGCCGTTTGGGACGCAAACGTACTTTTGAGGTGATTTACGAGGGTGACGTTGACAGTGTGTATCCACCTGCGTGATAGTGTAGTGCCCGATTTCTCTTAACGGTGTGTACATCACACACAATGGAGGAAGTCATCCAGGGTATGATACACGGCTGGTTGTTCACACCCGTTGCAAATGAAAGGCTTGGTTCAGCAAGGCCCTCATGGATGAGGGGAGTTTGAGGGAGTTTTGGTGGGTGGATGCTGGGCTCTTCTGTTCTGCACCCTGGAATGGAGATCCCCTGCTTCAGGAAAAAAGCCCTTGGGGGATAATGTTGTGATTTTTTTATTTTTTTATTTTACCTTTATTTAACCAGGTAAGCCAGTTGAGAACAAGTTCTCATTTACAACTGCGACCTGGCCAAGATAAAGCAAAGCAGTGCGATAAAAACAACAACACAGAGTTAAATATGGGGTAAAAAAACAAAGTCAAAAAAATACAACAGAAAATATATATACAGTGTGTGCAAATGTAGCAAGTTATGGAGGTAAGGCAATAAATAGGCCATATTGCAAAATAATTACAATTAGTATTAACACTGGAATGCTAGATGTGCAAGAGATTATGTGCAAATAGAGATACTGGGGTGCAAAAGAGCAAAAATAAATAACAATATAGGGATGAGGTAGTTGGGTGGGCTAATTTCAGATGGGCTGTGTACAGGTGCAGTGATCGGTAAGGTGCTCTGACAACTGATGCTTAAAGTTAGTGAGGGAGATAAGTGTCTCCAGCTTCAGAGATTTTTGCAATTCGTTCCAGTCATTGGCAGCAGAGAACTGGAAGGAATGGCGGCCAAAGGAGGTGTTGGCTTTGGGGATGACCAGTGAGATATACCTGCTGGAGCGCAGACTACGGGTGGGTGCTGCTATGGTGACCAATGAGCTAAGATAAGGCGGGGATTTGCCTAGCAGTGATTTATAGATGGCCTGGAGCCAGTGGGTTTGACAACGAACATGTAGTGAGGACCAGCCAACAAGAGCGTACAGGTCACAGTGGTGGGTAGTGTATGGGGCTTTGGAGACAAAACGGATGGCACTGTGATAGACTACATCCAATTTGCTGAGTAGAGTGTTGGAGGCTATTTTGTAAATTACATCGCCGAAGTCAAGGATCGGTAGGATAGTCAGTTTTACGAGGGCATGTTTGGCAGCATGAGTGAAGGAGGCTTTGTTGCGAAATAGGAAGCCGATTCTAGATTTAACTTTGGATTGGAGATTCTTAATGTGAGTCTGGAAGGAGAGTTTACAGTCTAACCAGACACCTAGGTATTTGTAGTTGTCCACATACTCTAGGTCAGACCCGTCGAGAGTAGTGATTCTAGTCGGGTGGGCGGGTGCAAGCAGCGTTCGGTTGAAGAGCATGCATTTAGTTTTACTAGTGTTTAAGAGCAGTTGGAGGCTACTGAAGGAGTGTTGTATGGCATTGAAGCTCGTTTGGAGGGTTGTTAACACAGTGTCCATTGAAGGGCCAGATGTATACAAAATGGTGTCGTCTGCGTAGAGGTGGATCTGAGAGTCACCAGCAGCAAGAGCGACATCAAAGAGTTGTAAGTGCTCCCATTTATTTTCAGAACTATATATGTTTTTTGTTGTTGTTGTGAAAGATAGCGACTCTCTGTTTGGGCTGATATGTGACCCACTAGCACCTCCCCCGGTCAGAGAGGAATAAGGCTACCTCAAAGTTACACACAAGGATACTGTATTGACATACACACGGATGACATGGAATGGTAGTGTTTTTTGTGCATGCACACCATCCAAGTCCAGAGATATGAGTCCAGCTGCTGTTGTGCAGGACAGAAATGAGCTTGCTGCTCTCTCTGTGACTGCTTGAAGGAGACCGAGAGGGGGAAGCAGGAATTGGGGATCTGGGACCCAAGATGACTGCCTATGATTGGCTGACCCCTCGGTGTGATAAGGCAACCATGACCCCTAGCGACCAATCGGTTTGGCTATGGCCAGAGGTGTGAAGGGCCAGTTTACGACCCATAGCCTAGCCTGCTAGGCTCCAGAGGGGGAGGGGAGCCTACTGCAGGAGTTAGAAAAGTTGCAGAGTTTGTGTCCCTGAGAGAGAGGTTTCTTTGATGCATAGCCTATAGATCATTGCCTACACAACACTGCCCCCATGGCTACGCAAGGAATTATACGGCGCGTTGCACTTTTAATGTGGCACAGCAGTACGTAGATTGTTGGAGTGCTGTACAAGGAGCCGGCCCTTTTGTGATGAAAAACGACATTGCGACACCGCGCTACGCTTCGTAGGGTCCGTCTCCGTAGGGTATAAATAGCCCTTAAGATCACTGGCAGGGAATTCGTAACAGATTGATGTGACTGTATAGAGCCCTGCAGTGGAGGTGTCATAATACCCATAAAACCTAGTAGTCAAACAGGGAAATGGTTCCAATAATTTTCCCACCATTCATTTTACCCATAGGGAATGTTAGAAACACTTAAAATAAGGGCTGTGTTTGTATAGGCTTACCCTGCCGTGCCATTTTGATAACAATGTAAATCTCTCTGACTTTTATCAATATATTCAGCTCTATTTACGCTCAGATTCGAAAATGCTAATTAGCATAAAAGTAGACATTATGCAAGACTACAAATCCCTGCAAGATTCTGCACTTCATCTCTAGCTGATACCTATGCTAACAGGTATTGTGTCAATTTAGAACTTGCACAAGACAGTTCACAGAATGTTGCCAATTTATTAATTACTAAATTTAGCTAACGTTAGATCGTTAATCCAGAGATTCTTACCTTTGCCTCGATTCGGCAGTCTCCTCCAGATCATCATGGCATTTGTAGTTCTTTATGATAGCCACATTAGCAGCTAAGTAGCATTTCATTTTTGGGTGCCAAATACTGGTGAATATATTGATAAAAGTCATCTTGTCCTAGAAAGATTTGCACAGTTATCAAAACGTCACGCCAGGGTAAGAAACATAGCCCTTATTTTAAGTGTTTCTAAAATCCCCTATGTGAAAAATGAATAGTTGAAAAACGATTGGAACCATTTCCTTGTTTGACCGCTAGGTTTTATGGGTATTATGACTCACACTGTGGTACTCTGTTGTAATTGAAGCAGCAACATACAGCCTGTACATAGACATATGTATCGTCCCCTGCTGGTTAGTATTACAGATGATACTACTGATGCTGGCCATCCATGGCACAGTACTTCTATAGTATCGCTTTACTATGAAAGGAGAATTGTAACCAGATAGATCTACAAACTGATATGTGATCACTTCACTGCTTTAGTGTTTTTATTAGCTTGACAGTTATGTTTTATCATCAGACAGTAAACATGTCTTGTCCATTCATCTTTGATGTTTCTCTTTTATTTCTCCATGTAACTGTCCGACAGCAATGACACTGAGTCTGCTGGGCCTAATGCGGCCGGCGTTGTGCCGATCCCTCGTCGCCCTGGTCCCCATGGTGAGGTCTCCTCAGCTGGCAGTCATCTCCAGGGTCCAACAGCTGCTCCCAAATACCTGTCATGGAAACATGGTCCCCCCTGCCGCCTCCTGCGTTCGCCTATATGCCACCAAGAAGAGTAAAGGTGAGTGGAGGGCCGCTTGCCTCAGCAGCTTTTTATTTTAGCTGATGGATTTAGTCTAGTAGTGCTACCCTCAAAGGAAATATAGTGGGAGGAATCAAGACCGACTGAAGTGGTCCGAACATTCAAGAGCTTTCTTTTTGAGGATGTTGAAAAGCCCACTTCACTGTGTTTTCTTGTCTTGGTTTTATTTGTAATAACAATGATTGACTAGAAGAGACTACCAGCATGCAGGCCTCCCTCCTCTCCTCATCTCCCCTCCATTCTCTCCGTCTGTTCTTTCCCTTTTGAAGTCTTTCTTGTACTGAAGACCGCCTGCTTTTATGTTTTCCCTCAGCGAAGGCAGCGAAGGGCCAGGCTTCCAAAGTGAACATCAACTCCTCGCTGGTGGAGGACATCATCAGTCTGGAGGAAGTGAAGGAGGATATGGCCGCCGTCCTCACCACCCTGAAGGACGACTTCAGCCGCAACCTGAGCATCAGAACCTCTCCAGGTGTGTAGGGGCTGTAGACTGTGAGGTAGGGGCTCTTACTCTCACCAACCCTGTTTCCATGGAGAGGATAGTCTCTCATCACCGACTGTTCAGTGCACTCGGTTCTGAGATTATGAAGAGGAGACATTTCAGTTCTGTCAGTACCACTGGCACTGTCTGATCTTTCAACAAGGGATGCATAGATCTGAAGGCCTGAAGTTTAAGCGTTGTCCATCTTTGTAAGCATTAAAATACCAAAGTCCACTGTTGGTTTTCACTATTGATTATTGGTCAAAAGATGAGAAAAAGTGCATCTCATCTGTTTACTTTCTCCCTGACAAATGGCCTGAGGGGTGAGAGTGATCCCTGCCCTTTACCTTGACCCCTGTTGACCCTGTTTCCTGAACTACATCCAGGTCAAAGCCCCCCCCCCCCCCCCCCTCGGGGCAGACCAACCCTGAGGGAGGGCCCCAGGGGGAGGAAGCTGTAATACCAGGATTTATACTCAGATTAAATACCCCTCCCAGACCCCCACTCCCCTCTTCCTCCCCCCTCACCTTCTCCATCCCTCCCTCCCTCCTTACCTTCTCCCTCCATTCCCCGTCCTTACCCTCTCCCCCTCCTCTCCCCCTTTGCCCCTCTGTCCAGATGCACAGTAATTTGTGTAAGCAGCAGGATTTAGAGCTGACAGGGAATCTGACTGGAGAGATGCTGGAATGGAGGGAATCATGACATCATTTTATTCCTGTGTGTGTTCGATAATAGTCTCATCTGGGTCTCATTTTGTGGTGTGTTTGTTGTAAAGGAAAGTCAGCTTTGCTGAAGGAAGGGCTGTTGTAGTGGGCGGGTTAATGCGGTGAACCGGTGTCTGGGCACTCACCGACACACACACACACACAGACTGACAGACGGACAGACAGAGTGGAGGTATTGCAACCTGTCACTCTCAGTTCCTCTGCTTGAAGAAGACTAACCTCTATTTCCATGGGAACGCTGGAAAGGCTATCCAGTCCTCCCTGGACAGCTCTGTGTATTGTATACTGGCTCAGATTAATACACTGTGAAATGAGAGCATTTCCTCAACCCATACAGTGGGGAAAAAAAGTATTTAGTCAGCCACCAATTGTGCAAGTTCTCCCACTTAAAAAGATGAGAGAGGCCTGTAATTTTCATCATAGGTACACGTCAACTATGACAGACAAAATTTGGGGGAAAAATCCAGAAAATCACATTGTAGGATTTTTTATGAATTTATTTGCAAATTATGGTGGAAAATAAGTATTTGGTCAATAACAAAAGTTTCTCAATACTTTGTTATATACCCTTTGTTGGCAATGACACAGGTCAAACGTTTTCTGTAAGTCTTCACAAGGTTTTCACACACTGTTGCTGGTATTTTGGCCCATTCCTCCATGCAGATCTCCTCTAGAGCAGTGATGTTTTGGGGCTGTCGTTGGGCAACACGGACTTTCAACTCCCTCCAAAGATTTTCTATGGAGTTGAGATCTGGAGACTGGCTAGGCCACTCCAGGACCTTGAAATGCTTCTTACGAAGCCACGCCTTCGTTGCCCGGGCGGTGTGTTTGGGATCATTGTCATGCTGAAAGACCCAGCCACGTTTCATCTTCAATGCCCTTGCTGATGGAAGGAGGTTTTCACTCAAAATCTCACGATACATGGCCCCATTCATTCTTTCCTTTAGACGGATCAGTCGTCCTGGTCCCTTTGCAGAAAAACAGCCCCAAAGCATGATGTTTCCAGCCCCATGCTTCACAGTAGGTATGGTGTTCTTTGGATGCAACTCAGCATTCTTTGTCCTCCAAACACGACGAGTTGAGTTTTTACCAAAAAGTTCTATTTTGGTTTCATCTGACCATATGACATTCTCCCAATCCTCTTCTGGATCATCCAAATGCACTCTAGCAAACTTCAGACGGGCCTGGACATGTACTGGCTTAAGCAGGGGTACACGTCTGGCACTGCAGGATTTGAGTCCCTGGCGGCGTAGTGTGTTACTGATGGTAGGCTTTGTTACTTTGGTCCCAGCTCTCTGCAGGTCATTCACTAGGTCCCCCCGTGTGGTTCTGGGATTTTTGCTCACCGTTCTTGTGATCATTTTGACCCCACGGGGTGAGATCTTGCGTGGAGCCCCAGATCGAGGGAGATTATCAGTGGTCTTGTATGTCTTCCATTTCCTAATAATTGCTCCCACAGTTGATTTCTTCAAACCAAGCTGCTTACCTATTGCAGATTCAGTCTTCCCAGCCTGGTGCAGGTCTACAATTTTGTTTCTGGTGTCCTTTGACAGCTCTTTGGTCTTGGCCATAGTGGAGTTTGGAGTGTGACTGTTTGAGGTTGTGGACAGGTGTCTTTTATACTGATAACAAGTTCAAACAGGTGCCATTAATACAGGTAACGAGTGGAGGACAGAGGAGCCTCTTAAAGAAGAAGTTACAGGTCTTGCTTGTTTGTAGGTGACCAAATACTTATTTTCCACCATAATTTGCAAATAAATTCATTTAAAATCCTACAATGTGATATTCTGGATTTTCTTTTCTCATTTTGTCTGTCATAGTTGACGTGTACCTATGATGAAAATTACAGGCCTCTCTCAGCTTTTTAAGTGGGAGAACTTGCACAATTGGTGGCTGACTAAATAATTTTTTCCCCCACTGTATATGTAACAGATCAGGATGCCAGTCGCCCTCAACCCACACACGTATACAGTTGAAGTCGGAAGTTTACATACACCTTAGCCAAATACATTTAAACTCAGTTTTTCACAATTCCTGACATTTAATCCTAGTAAAAATTCACTGTCTTCAGTCAGTTAGAATCACCACTTTATTTTAAGAATGTGAAATGTCAGAATAATAGTAGAGAGAATGATTTATTTCAGTTTTTATTTATTTTATCACATTCCCAGTGGGTCAGAAGTTTACATACACTCAATTAGTATTTGGTAGTATTGCCTTTAAATTGTTTAACTTGGGGTCAAACTTTTCGGGTAGCCTTCCACAAGCTTCCCACAATAAATTGGGTGATTTTTGGCCCATTCCTCCTGACAGAGCTGGTGTAACTGAGTCAGGTTTGTAGGCCTCCTTGCTTGCACACGCTTTTTCAGTTGTGCCCTCACATTTTCTATAGGATTGAGGTCAGGGCTTTGTGATGGCCACTCCAATACCTTGACTTTGTTGTCCTTAAGACATTTTGCCACAACTTTGGAAGTGTTCTTGGGGTCATTGTCCATTTGGAAGACCCATTTGCAACCAAGCTTTAACTTCCTGACTGATGTCTTGAGATGTTGCTTCAATATATCCACATAATTTTCCTTCCTCATGATGCCATCTATTTTGTGAAGTGCACCAGTCCCTCCTGCAGCAAAGCACCCCCACAGCATGATGCTGCCACCCCCGTGCTTCACTGTTGGGATGGTGTTTTTCGGCTTGCAAGTCCCCCCTTTTTCCTCCAAACATAAAGATGGTCATTATGGCCAAACAGTTCTATTTTTGTTTCATCAGACCGGAGGACATTTCTCCAAAAAGTATGATCTTTGTCCACATGTGCAGTTGTAAACCGTAGTCTGTCTTTTTTATGGCGGTTTTGGAGCAGTGGCTTCTTCCTTGCTGAGCGGCCTTTCAGGTTATGTCGATATAGGACTAGTTTTACTGTGGATATAGATACTTTTGTACCTGTTTCCTCCAGCATCTTCACAAGGACCTTTGCTGTTGTTCTGGGATTGATTTGCGCTTTTTGCACCAAAGTACGTTCATCTCTAGGAGACAGAACGCGTCTCCTTCCTGAGCGGTATGACAGCTGCGTGGTCCCACGGTGTTTATACTTGCGTACTATTGTTTGTACAGATGAACATGGTACCTTCAGGCATTTGGAAATTGCTCCCAAGGATGAACCAGACTTGTGGAGGTCTACACATTTTTTTCTGAGGTCTTGGCTGATTTCTTTTGATTTTCCCATGATGTCAAGCAAAGAGGCACTGAGTTTGAAGGTATGCCTTGAAATACATCCACAGGTACACCTCCAATGAACTCCAATGATGTCAATTAGCCTATCAGAAGCTTCTAAAGTCATTTTCTGGAATTTTCAAACCTGTTTAAAGGCACAGTCAACTTAGTGTATGTACACTTCTGACCCACTGGAATTGTGATACAGTGAATTATAAGTGAAGTAATCTGTCTGTAAACAATTGTTGGAAAAATTACTTGTGTCATGCACAAAGTAGATGTCCTAACCGACTTTCCAAAACTATAGTTTGGTAACAAGAAATTTGTGGAGTGGTTGAAAAACGAGTTTTAATGACTCCAACCTAAGTGTATGTAAACTTCCGACTTCAACTGTATATATTTACAACCCCAGTCTGTCTCCCAGAGATGAGTAAGAGCATTAGCTTCCATAGTTCAAAACAATTAGTTGATGTCATCCTCATGATCCCAAGATGCCCCAGGCTAGAGCACCAACCCACTAAACATCACCAGTGTAAAGTCACACAGGAACCATTCTGATAGGACTTTATCATGAGGAACCCAGGGTCGGGTCAAGAACTAGGGAGAGAACGTTTTGAAACGGGGAGGTAGCAACTACCTGAATGTGCACTATAAGAATACATTTTTGTATTCCGTTGCAAAACGTTTTTCTACGGCGTGCCCTACTGAACAAGACCCATGGTACATATGTGGGTTTTTGGAGAAACTATATTGTTGACTAGTAGTCTACCTTCTGCCATGTTTGGTAAGCTGCCAGTGTCCTGACCAGGAAGAGCCCATTTGGCTAATGGGTTTCCAGTCGATCCTCATCCCTCCTCATGCCGTTTAGGAAATTCCTGTGTGCCCTCTGGAAGCGCTAGCAGATGTTCAGGCAGCCAGGTAGTCTCTCTGGTCTTCCAGCCGGCTCTAGCAGTTAGCCTGGCGATGAGGTTAGGGCCCTGGTAGATTACTCTATGGCCCACCCACCCTCTACACTTCTCCACTAGCGAGGGATAGAGTTGGTGATGTAAGCCAGAGGACGGCGAGGGCAGAAACGGCGGCGTCTGAGGTAAGCCAGATGAGAAGAGGAGACTCATGTTGAAGCTCTGGTTCTGCAGTCTGCACTGTTAGGGGGTGACGAGAGAGGAGATGAGGGTTAAAGGGGGGAGGGGAACTTCCTGCACCCAACCATAACCTTCAGCTCACACTCTGCCAACAGTCTGAGAGGCTTCATATTAATCATACATACGTACTACCAAGACCCATCTTAACCACAATTGAATTGTGGGGAGGTTGGTTTGGATCGAGTACTCAATGCTGTTTTAGGTGGTGATGGTTTAGGCGGGCCTTTAGATAATGGTTTAGTTGTCTTGGTCATGTCTTGTGTTTTATGCTGGTGACAGGGAATCAAGAATGAAGTTGATTATTTTCACATACTATTCATAAAGCATCTCAGATTAGGAGTAACATTACATGGACAGTGGGGACCTGATCCTAGATCAGCACTCCTACTCTGACACACTTTATGAATACGGGCCCTGGTCCTTTTGTTTTTCAGGAGCTCTGGATCACATTGTGGTGTCCATGGCAGACGGCAAGTTCCCACTGAACCAGCTGGGTCAGATCTCCATGAAGTCCCCTCAGCTCATCATGATCAACATGACCGGCTTCCCAGAGGTGAGCTCACTCACTCAGTCAGTCAGTCAGACAGACACACACACACACACACACACACACACAGTCACACACACACACACACACACACACACACACACACACACACACAGTCACACACACACACACACACACACAGTCTCACACACACACACACACACACACACACACACACACACACACACACACACACACACACACACGCACACGTTCTGTATGAACCACACTCTAGGCTGATGGCAATACATTGTGAAATTGGCACGTCATTTTAGAAACCTGGACTGAAATCTCCTACTCTTGTCTCAGCCAGTGCATGGAAGGTTGAGCAGTGTCAAGTGTCGACACGCAAGAACACACGCACAACATCCATCGAGCTCTCTCTCCCTCACGTTCTCTCTCTCCATCTCTCTCTCCCTCACGTTCTCTCTCTCCCTCTCCATCTCTCTCTCCCCCTCCTTTCTCCTTCTTCTGAAACTTGAGTCGGTTAGTGATCGATGGTTCAGGGAAGCTCTTTGTTCTGGGATAAGATTGAAACAAATGCCAAGACTCCGTGGTCAGCTGTCATCAGCAGGAAGTGACCGCGCTTTGCCCTCTGGGAAGGAGGAGAGCTAACTGCTCTCTCTCCCCCTCCCTTTCTCACAGACACAATCTACACACACACTGAAAGGGAACAACTCTCGCTCACCCCTCTCTTTCCCTCCTCTTCTCTTCTCCCTGTGTTGTTTCTCTCTTTCCCCAAGTCTTTTTCTCCCTCCAGCATCCTATGTTGTTAATGAGGGTTGTCCCTGTCTAATTCTAGGATCAGTTTTAAAGGGAGGTTGATGCTTTTTGGCCTTGCTCAGATCCATTTAGTACTGCGGAGTACTTTTCCTTCAACATGAGCAGCTGAACCTGGAACTTAGTACTCTAAGTCACCATAGGTGATCATAGCTTTTAGATACACAGATTTCTTTCTGCTTCATTTCTAAACTCACATGGATAAGCATATTGTCATTATCAATTAAACTGATATTGAATCAGTTCAACAGAGTTCAACCTGTAAAAGGAGAGAGTTAGAGACATTTTGTGGCACAGATATCATCAGCTTGAAGTACATCTTAACATCCCACCTCCCCCTTCTCTCTGATAATTCCAGCATCAGATCAGAACTCCAGCCCCTCCGGCAGGTTACTAACCTCCCATTACCTAATAGTCTAACAGTCCATTACTAACCTCCCATTACCTAACAGTCTAACAGCCCATTACTAACCTCCCATTACCTAACAGTCTAACAGCCCATAGGGCGGCAGGTAGCTTAGTGGTTAAGAGCGTTGTGCCAGTAACCGAAAGGTCGCTGGTTCTAATCCCCGAGCCGACTAGGTGAAATCTGTCGATGTGCCCTTGAGCAAGGCACTTAACCCTAATTGCTCCTGTAAGTCGCTCTGGATAAGAGCGTCTGCTAAATGACTAAAATGTAAATGTAAAATGTACTAACCCCATCACCTCCCATTACCTAACAGTCTAACAGTCCATTACTAACCTCCCATTACCTAACAGTCTAACAGTCCATTACTAACCTCCCATTACCTAACAGTCTAACAGTCCATTACTAACCTCCCATTACCTAACAGTCTAACAGTCCATTACTAACCTCCCATTACCTAACAGTCTAACAGCCCATTACTAACCTCCCATTATCTAACAGTCCATTACTAACCTCCCATTACCTAACAGTCTAACAGTCCATTACTAACCTCCCATTATCTAACAGTCCATTACTAACCTCCCATTACCTAACAGTCTAACAGTCCATTACTAACCTCCCATTACCTAACAGTCTAACAGTCCATTACTAACCTCCCATTACCTAACAGTCTAACAGTCCATTACTAACCTCCCATTACCTAACAGTCTAACAGTCCATTACTAACCTCCCATTACCTAACAGTCTAACAGTCCATTACTAACCTCCCATTACCTAACAGTCTAACAGCCCATTACTAACCTCCCATTACCTAACAGTCCATTACTAACCTCCCATTACCTAACAGTCTAACAGTCCATTACTAACCTCCCATTACCTAGCAGTCTAACAGCCCATTACTAACCTCCCATTATCTAACAGTCCATTACTAACCTCCCATTATCTAACAGTCCATTACTAACCTCCCATTACCTAACAGTCTAACAGTCCATTACTAACCTCCCATTACCTAACAGTCTAACAGTCCATTACTAACCTCCCATTACCTAACAGTCTAACAGTCCATTACTAACCTCCCCATTACCTAACAGTCTAACAGCCCATTAACTAACCTCCCATTATCTAACAGTCTAACAGTCCATTACTACCTCCCATTACCTAACAGTCCTAACAGCCCATTACTAACCTCCCATTATCTAACAGTCTAACAGCCCATTACTAACCTCCCATTACCTAACAGTCTAACAGTCCATTACTAACCTCCCATTATCTAACAGTCCATTACTAACCTCCCATTACCTACAGTCTAACAGCCATTACTAACCTCCCATTACCTAACAGTCTAACAGTCCCATTACTAACCTCCCATTAATCTAACAGTTACTCCATACTAACAGTCCATTACTAACCTCCCATTACCTAACAGTCTAACAGCCATTACTAACCTCCCATTACCTAACAGTCTAACAGTCCATTACTAAACCTCCCATTATCCCTAACAGTCCAGCCATTACTAACCTCCCATTACCTAACAGTCTAACAGTCCATTACTAACCTCCCATTACCTAACAGTCTAACAGTCCATTACTAACCTCCCATTATCTAACAGTCCATTACTAACCTCCCATTACCTAACAGTCTAACAGTCCATTACTAACCTCCCATTACCTAACAGTCTAACAGTCCATTACTAACCTCCCATTACCTAACAGTCCTCTAACCAGTCCATTACTAACCTCCCATTACCTAACAGTCTAACAGTCCATTACTAACCCCCCTATTACCTAACAGTCCATTACTACCTCCCATTACCTACAGTCTAACAGTTCCATTACTAACCTCCCATTACCTAACAGTCTAACAGTCCATTACTAACCTCCCATTACCTAACAGTCTAACAGTCCATTACTAACCTCCCATTACCTAACAGTCTAACAGTCCATTACTAACCTCCCATTACCTAACAGTCTAACAGCCCATTACTAACCTCCCATTAATCTAACATCTAACAGCCCATTACTAACCTCCCATTACCTAACAGTCTAAACAGTCCCATTACTAACCTCCCATTACCTAACAGTCTAACAGTCCATTACTAACCTCCCATTACTAACAGTCTAAACAGTCCATTACTAACCCTCCCATTACCTAACAGTCTAACAGTCCATTACTAACCTCCCATTACCTAACAGTCTAACAGTCCATTACTAACCTCCCATTACTAACAGTCTAACAGTCCATTACTAACCTCCCATTACCTAACAGTCTAACAGTCCATTACTAACCTCCCATTACCTAACAGTCTAACAGCCCATTACTAACCTCCCATTATCTAACAGTCTAACAGTCCATTACTAACCTCCCATTACCTAACAGTCTAACAGTCCATTACTAACCTCCCATTACCTAACAGTCTAACAGTCCATTACTAACCTCCCATTACCTAACAGTCTAACAGTCCATTACTAACCTCCTATTACCTAACAGTCTAACAGTCCATTACTAACCTCCCATTACCTAACAGTCTAACAGCCCATTACTAACCTCCCATTATCTAACAGTCCATTACTAACCTCCCATTACCTAACAGTCTAACAGTCCATTACTAACCTCCCATTACCTAACAGTCTAACAGTCCATTACTAACCTCCCATTACCTAACAGTCTAACAGTCCATTACTAACCTCCCATTACCTAACAGTCTAACAGCCCATTACTAACCTCCCATTATCTAACAGTCCATTACTAACCTCCCATTACCTAACAGTCTAACAGTCCATTACTAACCTCCCATTATCTAACAGTCCATTACTAACCTCCCATTACCTAACAGTCTAACAGCCCATTACTAACCTCCCATTACCTAACAGTCTAACAGCCCATAGGGCGGCAGGTAGCTTAGTGGTTAAGAGCGTTGTGCCAGTAACCGAAAGGTCGCTGGTTCTAATCCCCGAGCCGACTAGGTGAAATCTGTCGATGTGCCCTTGAGCAAGGCACTTAACCCTAATTGCTCCTGTAAGTCGCTCTGGATAAGAGCGTCTGCTAAATGACTAAAATGTAAATGTAAAATGTACTAACCTCCCATTACCTAACAGTCTAACAGTCCATTACTAACCTCCCATTACCTAACAGTCTAACAGTCCATTACTAACCTCCCATTACCTAACAGTCTAACAGTCCATTACTAACCTCCCATTACCTAACAGTCTAACAGTCCATTACTAACCTCCCATTACCTAACAGTCTAACAGTCCATTACTAACCTCCCATTACCTAACAGTCTAACAGCCCATTACTAACCTCCCATTATCTAACAGTCCATTACTAACCTCCCATTACCTAACAGCCTAACAGTCCATTACTAACCTCCCATTACCTAACAGTCTAACAGTCCATTACTAACCTCCCATTACCTAACAGTCTAACAGTCCATTACTAACCTCCCATTACCTAACAGTCTAACAGTCCATTACTAACCTCCCATTACCTAACAGTCTAACAGCCCATTACTAACCTCCCATTATCTAACAGTCTAACAGCCCATTACTAACCTCCCATTACCTAACAGTCTAACAGTCCATTACTAACCTCCCATTATCTAACAGTCCATTACTAACCTCCCATTACCTAACAGTCTAACAGTCCATTACTAACCTCCCATTACCTAACAGTCTAACAGTCCATTACTAACCTTCCATTACCTAACAGTCTAACAGTCCATTACTAACCTCCCATTACCTAACAGTCTAACAGCCCATTACTAACCTCCCATTATCTAACAGTCTAACAGTCCATTACTAACCTCCCATTACCTAACAGTCTAACAGCCCATTACTAACCTCCCATTACCTAACAGTCTAACAGTCCATTACTAACCTCCCATTATCTAACAGTCCATTACTAACCTCCCATTACCTAACAGTCTAACAGTCCATTACTAACCTCCCATTACCTAACAGTCTAACAGCCCATTACTAACCTCCCATTATCTAACAGTCCATTACTAACCTCCCATTACCTAACAGTCTAACAGTCCATTACTAACCTCCCATTACCTAACAGTCTAACAGTCCATTACTAACCTCCCATTACCTAACAGTCTAACAGTCCATTACTAACCTCCCATTACCTAACAGTCTAACAGTCCATTACTAACCTTCCATTACCTAACAGTCTAACAGTCCATTACTAACCTCCCATTACCTAATAGTCTAACAGTCCATTACTAACCTCCCATTACCTAACAGTCTAACAGTCCATTACTAACCTCCCATTACCTAACAGTCTAACAGCCCATTACTAACCTCCCATTACCTAACAGTCTAACAGTCCATTACTAACCTCCCATTATCTAACAGTCCATTACTAACCTCCCATTACCTAACAGTCTAACAGTCCATTACTAACCTCCCATTAGCTAACAGTCTAACAGTCCATTACTAACCTCCCATTACCTAACAGTCTAACAGCCCATTACTAACCTCCCATTATCTAACAGTCCATTACTAACCTCCCATTACCTAACAGTCTAACAGTCCATTACTAACCTCCCATTACCTAACAGTCTAACAGTCCATTACTAACCTCCCATTACCTAACAGTCTAACAGTCCATTACTAACCTCCCATTACCTAACAGTCTAACAGCCCATTACTAACCTCCCATTATCTAACAGTCTAACAGTCCATTACTAACCTCCCATTACCTAACAGTCTAACAGTCCATTACTAACCTCCCATTACCTAACAGTCTAACAGCCCATTACTAACCTCCCATTATCTAACAGTCTAACAGTCCATTACTAACCTCCCATTACCTAACAGTCTAACAGTCCATTACTAACCTCCCATTACCTAACAGTCTAACAGTCCATTACTAACCTCCCATTACCTAACAGTCTAACAGTCCATTACTAACCTCCTATTACCTAACAGTCTAACAGTCCATTACTAACCTCCCATTACCTAACAGTCTAACAGTCCATTACTAACCTCCCATTACCTAACAGTCTAACAGCCCATTACTAACCTCCCATTATCTAACAGTCCATTACTAACCTCCCATTACCTAACAGTCTAACAGTCCTGCTAAGGCAACACAGGGGTGACTGCACAGCACCCAGAGCAAATAGGATTCTAATTATTCACATCAATTACCCATGTTCCTAACGAGAGGCCATTGTTTTCCAGTCATTCAGTACAGCATTACAATGTTACTGCAAACCCCCCAGTGGGTGTTGTGTAGTGGCAATGGCAGCATTAATTAAACCACTTGGATCTTAAGGAAGACGAGAAGGGTATGGAAAGTGTGTGTGTGTGTGTGTGTGTGGTATCCTCAACATCATTAACAAGGTGTTTTCTTTAGCTCTTTTCGTTCCTCTCGGCTGGGCTGTGGCTTTGAACTGGCTGTGTTTATTCAGAAACCTCTGTGTAATTGCACTATTTTTAACATATTAACCAGAACATGCCTGGTGTTTACAGAGCTAGCCAGAACAGAGCACAGCATTCCCCCACTTTTCCCTAACGGCTAGAGCTGTGGGAAATAATGATGAATTCAATGTTGAGAACAATCAAACATAGGTATGGGATGGCTCTCTGGAGTTACTAGTAAATACATCTCACTGCCAATTATTTCCCCCAGAAACCTGCTCTCTTCTCACATCACACATTCGCACCTTTTTAACATTTGGACTGAAGCAATTGTCATGTTGCAGCAGCAGAGATTTGTGAATGTGTGATATACAGTAACTCTCTCTAGTACCAATGGGGTTTGGTCCATTTCATTATGTACTATTTGGAGTTCCTGTCTGAACTTTCTCGCTCAGTGGTCATATCTGGTGATATTGAGATCTTAGTGCTGAGTTTCAAACTGGTTCTCAGTGTTGAACCTGAACTCGGTGTGCTCAGCGTTAGCTTGTTGTTCCCACACGGAACAACAAGCTAACTACTGTCTGTTAGTTAGTCTAAACAGGCTCCATGTATCAAATCAAATCACATTTTATTTGCCACATGCGGCGAATACAACATTACAGTGAAATGCTTACTTAAAAGCCCTTAACCAACAATGCAGTTAAGAAAAAAATTAAGAGCTAATAATTAAAGAGCAGCAGTCAAATAAAATAACAGTAGGGAGGCTATATACAGGGGGGTACCGGTAAGTCGAGGTAATTGAGGTAATATGTACATGTGGGTATAGTTAAAGTGACTATGCATAAATAATAAACAGAGTAGCAGCAGCGTAAAAGAGGGGGTTGGGGTGGGGTGGGGTGGGGGGGGGGCAATGCAAATAGTCCAGGTAGCCATGATTAGCTGTTCAGGAGTCTTATGGCTTGGGGGTAGAACAGTCTATGACTAGGGTGGCTGGAGTCTTTGATAATTTTTAGGGCCTTCCTCTGACACCGCCTGGTATAGAGGTCCTGGATGGCAGGAAGCTTGGCCCCAGTGATGTACTGGGCTGTACGCACTACCCTCTGTAGTGCCTTGCGGTCAGAGGCCAAGCAGTTGCCATACCAGGCGGTGATGCAACCAGTCAGGATGCTCACGACGGTGCAGCTGTATAACTTTTTGAGGATCTGAGGACCCATGCCAAATCTTTTCAGTCTCCTGAGGGGGAATAGGCTTTGTCGTGCCCTCTTCACGACTGTCCTGGTGTGTTTGGACCATGATAGTTTGTTGGTGATGTGGACACAAAGGAACTTGAAGCTCTCAACCTGTTCCACTACAGCCCGTCGATGAGAATGGGGGCGTGCTCAGTCCTCTTTTTTTTTTCCTGTAGTCCACAATCATCTCCTTTGTCTTGATCACGTTGAGGGAGAGGTTGTTATCCTGGCACCACACGGCCAGGTCTCTGACCTCCTCCCTATAGGCTGTCTCATCATTGTCGGTGGTCAGGCCTACCACTGTTGTGTCGTCGGCAAACTTAATGATGGTGTTGGAGTCGTGCCTGGCCATGCAGTCATGGGTGAACAGGGAGTACAGGAGGGGACTGAGCACGCACCCCTGAGGGGCCCCCGTGTTGAGGATCAGCGTGGCAGATGTGTTGTTACCTACCCTTACTACCTGGGGGCGGCCTGTCAGGAAGTCCAGGATCCAGTTGCAAAGGGAGGTGTTTAGTCCCAGGGTCCTTAGCTTAGTGAGGAGCTTTGAGGGCACTATGGTGTTGTGCAGTAGCAATGGCATCATTGAAGGTCCTACATGTACTGGAGGCTTCACAGGCCCTCTCGGACTCTCTCCCTCAGGCACCTCTCCTCTCCTCTCTGTCTTCCCTGTCTCGGACTCTCCCTCAGGCACCTCTCCTCTCCTCTCTGTATTCTCTGACTCTCCCTCAGGCACCTCTCCTCTCTGTCTTCCCTGTCTCTGACTCTCTCCCTCAGGCACCTCTCCTCTCCTCTCTGTCTTCCCTGTCTCGGACTCTCCCTCAGGCACCTCTCCTCTCTGTATTCTCTGACTCTCCTTCAGGCACCTCTCCTCTCTGTCTTCCCTGTCTCTGACTCTCCTTCAGGCACCTCTCCTCTCCCACCACCACAGACAAATCACATATCCAGATTACAGCCTATTCATTAATTGTCTTTTGGAGTTCAACCACCATTAGAGTTAACATACATCTCCTAGATAAAGATACTCTGTTGTCTACCAGACCGTTAGGTTCAGAAAAGGTGCTGGATAAAATATATACAATAGTGAAAAAATACTTTACACAGAATCTCCTTCTCTAATGCATAGTGAGTACCAGGCCAGGTCCCACCCACGTTCCCAGGAGACCCCGTTCTGACAGCGCCCCGCGGCACTTCCACACTGCATGTGCTTCCCCACCACCCCCCCTAACACACACACCCTAGCCCCCCCAATCCCCTCTACCAGAGATGCTACACAGTTCACCCAGCTCGCCATGGATCAAAGCCAGCGTGACCAAGGACAGCCGGTGTCTGCAGTGAGAGTACTACTGCCCCAGTCCCAGCTGGCAGTCATTAGGAATAGGTCTAATGTGTGTTTGATGTGTCCTCAGGCCATGGCTGCTGCCACCCGCGCCCTGCGAGAGAGCAGTATGAAACTCAACCCTGAGGTGGACGGCACCATCATCAGGGTGCCCATTCCCAAGTGAGTCAACCAGGCTGAGCCAGAACACTCTTTCTACTTCCGTATCTCTCTCGTTCTCTGAGTCTTTCACTATTCACTCTCACTCTTGTTCTTCCTCTCTCTCTCTCTCTGATCCATCACTCTCTGTGTTTTATCCTTTCTCCCCATCTCTCTTTATATTTAATCCTTTCCTACTTTTTCACTTTACAGTAATTAATTCTCTTGTCAATCTCTTCCCTGACCTTCCGTCTCCTTTTAAAGCGTGTTTCTAGGTGTTTCTGACATATTTATTTTACTATTTCACCCAACTATAGCAGTTAGAAAACACCAACCTTGGTCAGAAGTCTTCAGTTCTCTGACCAACTCTGCTCCCTGCCAAATCAAATAGCTTGATGTGCAGCCGTCACTCGCTTAACCACAAAAATATGTGGGTACGTCACAAATGGCACCCTACTCCCTATGTAGTGCTCTACTTTTGACCAGGGCCCTGTAGTGAATACGTTGCCATTTGGGATGCAGCCTGTGTGATTAATAAGTATGCCCAGCAGCAGGTGCTTGTCTGGCAGCGCAGGATAGGGGGACGGACAGACGGACGGACTCCTTCTTCCTCTGCAATCAGTCTCAGCACGCAACTCCATTTGCATTTCCAAAGAGAGCGAGTGTCTTGATTGGCCCAGAATCAGTAATTTATTGTTTGCAGTAAATAGACACCACTCTTGGATTGTTTGCAAATAGTCCCAGGCAAAATACCAATTACAGAAAATAAAAAACAAAGTTGTTGACTGCTCTGTGACCGTGCTAAGTTTATTTTTGTGGCACAGAGAGCCAGGCATTTAGCCAGGTATTGTTTTAAGGAATTTAATGCGTTGGGCATTATAATGAGTTGTGCATACTTTCTCCCATACTCTCTCTATTAAACAGTGTGTGTGTGCGTGCGACTGTGTGTGTATGTGCGTGCGTCTGTGTGTGTGTGTGCGTGCGACTGTGTGTGTGTGTGTGCGTGCGACTGTGTGTGTGTGTGCATGCTCATGACACTGTGTTAATGTGTCCATGCAGGGTGACGCGTGAGCACAGGGAGAACCTGGCTAAGCTAGCTAAGCAGTTCGGTAACAAGGCCAAGGAGTCTCTGAGGAGGGTGAGGTCCAACGCTGTCACTCAGGTGAAGAAGGCCAAGGAGACTGTCTCCGAGGACACCATCCGATTGGTGGAGAAACAGGTACTGAGACAGAGATACCTCAACCTGTCCTGTCAGAGGACAGAAATACAATGGTTATAATAGTCAGAAGGCTACGAACGTTCAGATGAATCCTTTCTGTTTTTGTGTAACCACATTGCATCGTTTTACAGTATTTGTATAATAATAATAATAGTAATAGTTGTCTAATAAGAATAGCTCTCTTCTCTACTCTCTCAGGTCGGGCAGATGGCAGACAGCTTTGCAGCAGATGTGGACAAGCAGCTGACTACCAAGACAAAAGAGCTGCTGGGGTGACGACAACTAACAGCACCACACCTTTATTTTTGATACTGTCGTGTTTGCAACAGTTCCTCCTGCGTATATGACTGAACACGATACTGAACACAATACTGAACACGATACTGAACACTAGTTGATGATAGAGAATTGATGGAGATGTCATACTGTGCTGTAGGTTCGTTTGGCGCTCGCTGGGGGCTTGTTTGTGTGTTCCACTCATGCGTAAACAGAAGTTGGCATCGCACGACAGTGGCTGCTGGGTTTCTCATTCACTCTCGTCTTCAAACAAACAGAGGGGAGAAATTGACTTTTAATGGCATCTGGGAGCCTCCTCCTAATCAAACTGATGCTACAGAGAGCTGTGTTTATGTAGAAAGCACCACACTCAATGTAAACTGTGTGTTTATTCTGGTCTGAGACACCGAGACAATCTCCCAGAGGACAGGAAGAATAGAGATATTAACGTGGTGCCAACAGCCAGCATTTGTTTCAAATTCAGCCTTAAAGGGATAGTTCAGCGATTTTACGCGTTACATTTTTGTTTCCTTACACTTGGACATAGAGTGACTGCAATCCACACTTATTTTTTGTTGTTGTAAAACTAGCCACTGCCAACAAATGCTAATATTTCAAGGTAAGGAAACAAATATCAAGGTGTAGGTCTGATGTGTCCTCAGGCCGTGGCTGCTGCCAGAGAGCAGTATGAAACTCCAACTCCAATCTAAAAAGGAAAAATCACTGAACTAACCCTTTAACGCCACTACAAACTCACCGGATCGTTCCGTCAGTTTGTTGTGGATTAATCCTACAGCGACCAATGCAAACACAATAAAGTGGGCACTACCCTTATTTATGAGCGCCATTAACTGAAACACTGCTTTGTACGTCATCTCTCTTACGTTTTTTCTTCTTTGCCTTTTATGTGAGTCAATGTTAGATTTCCTTCATTAGTTCGTGATAATGGTCTACTTTCTTCCTGTGTACTAAACCATAATGTATCACACCATTATGGTCATTCATCTATTAGGCATGGTTTTAATATGGTGGTTTGCTTGGCCCAACCCTGAGATGCTGCACGCACACACACACAGATGGTCATTGGATAAACAACGGTTTAGAGGAGGAGTGCACAGACGAGGGACCTGTCAGTGTTTCTAGTGAATCTGGGTCCATATGTCAGCAATTTGGGGGCATTGTGTACCTTGGCCCAAAACAGAGGCTCATGATCGATGGAGGAGTGAAAATCTCAAGTCCCTGGCCCCGAACGCAGCTCTGGAAATTGCTTTCAGCTGAATACTTTCATTTCATTTGACATTTATCAACTGAATTACTGTTCCTCTGCTCGCAGCCTCGCTCCGTTTACTACCGCTGTCATGGAATAGAGAGGGACTGCAAGGAGAGAGCAAATTTGTTTTCTTGTGCCTCTGGTAAAAATGTACAAGTCTAAGTTGGCTCAGAAAACTTTTGAATTGACAGTGTTAGTGCACTCCACTTGGACACCAACATCTGGCTGGGAGGATAAAGTAAGGAGAGGTACTGTAACTACCTGGCTGTAGTCCCTGTAGTGATTTGATGTTACAGTTCCTTGCTTCAACTGAAATAAGTCTCTCAGGGGCCTTGTCTTCTTCGAGCCACCCGACGATCTCATCAAGAATCCAATCAGTGATGATGTAGAATACACCTCTAGTGTGATGGGAAGACTTTCAGTCAGGCAGTTTGTGTCATAGGGGAAGATTCACTGCATATGTTAATCAGACTGGAAATTATCACAGATTTGATGTTCAGAAAGCTGTTAGGAGGAAGGGGGGCTAAATTGTAGGGGGAACAGAGGGGGAGACCCTTGTTTCATGAGCTAGGTGGAGACTGAAACAATAGGCTCTGTACAGTTTCTGATCCGTAATTTATATTTGGTGATGGTGTTCGAAATATAGTGAACAAAAATATAAACGCAACATGTAAAGTGTTGGTCCCATGTTTCATGAGGTGAAATAAAAGATCCCAGAAATGTTCCATACTCACAAAAAACGTATTTCTCTCAAATAATGTGCACACATTTGTTTACGTCCCTGTTAGTAATTGTTTCTCCTTTGCCAATACAATCCATCCACCTGACAGGTGTAGCATATCAACAAGTTGATTAAACAGCATGATCATTACACAGGTGCACCTTGTGCTGAGGACAATAAAAGGCCACTCTAAAATGTGCAGTTTTGTCACATAACACAATGCCACAAGTTTTGAGGAAGCGTGCAACTGGCATGCTGACTGCAGAAATCTCCACCGGAGTTGCTGCCAGAGAATTGAATGACGCCTCCAACGTCATTTAAGACAATTTGGCAGTACGTCCAACCCGCCTCACAACCGCAGACCACGTGTAACCACGCCAGCCCAGGACCTCCACATCCGGCTTCTTCACCTGCGGGATCATCTGAGACCAGCCACCCGTACAACTGATGAAACTGAGGAGTTTTTCTGCCTTTAATAAAGCCCTTTTGTGGGGAAAAACTAATTCTGATTGGCTGGGTCTGGCTCCCCAGTGGGTGAGCCTGGCTCCCCAGTGGGTGGGCCTATGTCCTCCCAGGCCCACCCATGGCTGAGCCCCTGCCCAGTCATGTGAAATCCATAGATTAGGGCCTAATTAATTTATTTCAATTTACTGATTTCCTTATGTGAACTGTAACTCAGTAAAATCATTGTAAGCCCCTCCAACTCAGAAATAGGGCTATTATAGTATGGAAATTGTTATTGCATATTTGAAACACCATGAGGAGGAGGTGGGGTATCTTAATCATCAGGTAACTAATACTGGGGAAGTAAATTGCTTCATTTCTTTACTCTTTGACTGTATTGACCTGGCCTTGTGGCCTGTGAGCCATTTCAGTGTCACAGGTGGAACGTGTGCTCGTTTGGGGGGCCATACCCCTGGGTGGGTCCATGCATGCCTCGCCACGGGCCCGGCTGCCCATGCACCCGTCGCAGTAAGGAAAGACAGATCCCCTTCCAACAGTCTGAAGTGTTTAAACTGTCATTCCAAATCGTCTGGACGTCGTGATTACCGGCACGGGAGGAATTATCTATTTAGCTTTATGTCCACCGCGATTTCCTCCTCCCGTCTTTATCTTAAGTGACTGGTACCCTCAATGGTTCCTATCTCTGAGGAGTTGACCTCGTCCCCTGGGAACACTGTAATCAAGGGTCTCGGAGCGGTGCGGAGGAGAGGAGAGGTCGGAGCGGTGCGGAGGAGAGGTCGGAGCGGTGCGGAGGAGAGGTCGGAGCGGTGCGGAGGAGAGGTCGGAGCGGTGGAGAGGAGAGGTCGGAGCGGTGCGGAGGATAGGAGAGGTCGGAGCGGTGGAGAGGAGAGGTCGGAGCGGTGCGGAGGAGAGGAGAGGTCGGAGCGGTGCGGAGGAGAGGAGAGGTCGGAGCGGTGCGGAGGAGAGGAGAGGTCGGAGCGGTGCGGAGGAGAGGAGAGGTCGGAGCGGTGCGGAGGAGGAGAGGTCGGAGCGGTGCGGAGGAGAGGAGAGGTCGGAGCGGTGGAGAGGAGAGGTCGGAGCGGTGCGGAGGATAGGAGAGGTCGGAGCGGTGCGGAGGAGAGGAGAGGTCGGAGCGGTGCGGAGGAGAGGAGAGGTCGGAGCGGTGCGCAGGGGAGAGGTCGGAGCGGTGCGGAGGAGAGGAGAGGTCGGAGCGGTGCGGAGGAGAGGAGAGGTCGGTGCGGAGGAGAGGAGAGGTCGGGGGGGGTGGAGAGGTCGGAGCGGTGCGGAGGATAGGAGAGGTCGGAGCGGTGCGGAGGATAGGAGAGGTCGGAGCGGTGCGGAGGAGAGGAGAGGTCGGAGCGGTGGAGAGGTCGGAGCGGTGCGGAGGAGAGGTCGGAGCGGTGCGGAGGAGAGGAGAGGTCGGAGCGGTGCGGAGGAGAGGAGAGGTCGGAGCGGTGCGGAGGAGAGGAGAGGTCGGAGCGGTGGAGAGGAGAGGTCGGAGCGGTGGAGAGGTCGGAGCGGTGCGGAGGATAGGAGAGGTCGGAGCGGTGCGGAGGATAGGAGAGGTCGGAGCGGTGCGGAGGAGAGGAGAGGTCGGAGCGGTGCGGAGGAGAGGAGAGAGAGAAAATGAGATGGTGAGAGGTTGTGATGGGGCTTCTAATATGACCTACTACAGCACAGACTGTCATACATTCATTAGTAAATAGCTAAGGCTATATTAAAAATATATGGACGTGTTCAGTTCAGTCCCCCACTCTCACAATAAACCTATTGCTGCAGTATGCATGGTATATAGTCTATAAAGTTACAGCTCATCCATATAAAGACTTCAACAGTTTGAGAAAGTAAAACATGTTGTTGATAGTTGAAGTTGGAATGCTGCAAGACCTATTATTGCATTGACCATCTTCTTCTGTCTTATTTGACCTTGTGGATGACCTTGAGAAAGACCTCTCACTTGTGGCCTTTACTCTATATACATAATGACACGTGTGAGGCCTGTCGTGGCCGTTAGTGCTCTTAAAGTGTCAACATGTCAGATGATGCAACAGCCTATTTTGTGACTGAGATTGTACTTGCCATTCTTTCGGACTGACATTTTCAAGGCCAACTTGCAAACAGATGATACCTGTTAATTACAACACTAAGTTGTACTAATAGGTACTTTTAAACTAGAACAGTTGGAAACGTTGCTAGTGTCAGTGTGTATGAAACAATACTACCTCCTAACCCATCCCAAAAGTCCTTTAAAAGATGCCTCGGCACACACCCACACAGTCCACCACATGACTCCAATCCTTAGGTCCCTCAAACGCTTACCGATCCTGAGATATCCTCTGAGATATCTTGAACTACCCCAGTTGCACTCCACACTGCCCTTTCCCACCTGGACAAAAGGAACACCTATGTGAGAATGCTGTTCATTGACTACAGCTCAGCATTCAACACCATAGTGCCCACATAGCTCATCACTAAGCTAAGGACCCTGGGACTAAACACCTCCCTCTGCAACTGGATCCTGGACTTCCTGACGGGCCGCCCCCAGGTGGTGAGGGTAGGTAACAACACATCTGCCACAGCCTATAGGGAGGAGGTCAGAGACCTGGCAGTGTGGTGCCAGGACAACAATCTCTCCCTCAATGTGAGTAAGACAAAGGAGATGATTGTGGACTACAGGAAAAGAAGGGCCGAACAGGGCCTCATTAACATCTGTAGTGGAGCGGATCGAGAGTTTCAAGTTCCTTGGTGTCCACATCACCAACAAACTATCATGGTCCAAACACATCAAGACAGTCGTGCAGAGGGCACGACAACACCTTCACCCCCCCATGAGACTGAAACGATTTGGCATGAATCCTCAGATTCTCGAAAAGTTCTACAGCTGCACCATCGAGAGCATCCTGATCGGTTGCATCACCGCCTGGTATGGCAACTGCTCGGCATCCGACCGTAAGTCGCTACAGAGGGTAGTGCGTACGGCCCAATACATCCCTGGGGCCAAGCTTCTTGCCATCCAGGACCTATATACTAGGTGGTGTCAGTGGTAAATGGTAAAAGACTCCAGTCACCCAAGTCTACTACTGAACAATTAATCAAATGGCCACCCAGACTATTTACATTGACAAACCCCTCCCCCCCTTTGTTTTTACACTGCTGCTACTCGCTGTTTATTATCTATACACTTTACCCCTACCTACATGTACAAATTATCTCGACTAACCTGTACCCCAGCACATTGACTCGGTACCGGTACCCCCTGTATATAGCCTCATTATTGTTATGTAATCTTATTGTGTTACTTTTTATTTTATTATTTACTTTAGTTTATTTAACAAATATTCTCTTAACTCTATTTCTTGAACTGCATTGTTGGTTAAGGGCTTGTAAGTAAGCATTTCACGGTAAGCTCTACACCTGTTGTATTCGACGCATGTGACAAATAACATTTGATTTGATTTGATTTGAACTAGACTGATACATGGTTATAACAAAAAAAAGAAGGGATTATTTGCTTTCCAAATGCCACGGATTGGACAGGAAGTCAGTTAATCTGAAACCTGATCCGGCAGGAAGGAAGGACTCAGGAACCAGCGTTGAGATCTTTCACCAATCATATTCATCACGACCGGTCGGCCCGGCCAGACCCAGACCAATTGGACCGCAGCACTTCACTTAACTAAACATCTTTCCCATAAAATAAATGCTTCCAGGTTACCCTGCCTTGCCCAGGTTGCCTCCAAACCCCGCCTCGCCTCAACGGCCCATCTGATCTCAATTACCTCAGTGAGTTGGTTGGTGGTGCTGGTGCTATAGTGGTGGTGGAGTGATCAGACCTGGGTTCAAATAGTGTTTGAAATCTGCCAAATACTTTGAGCGATCGCTTTAACCTGCCTGGGGTGACAATCAGGTGGACAGGGTTTGGGGGTTGGACTATTTACTTTTCTTTTGGTTACATTGCAACATGCAAGCTCAATCAAGCACAGATAAAGTATTTGAAATAATTTTGAATAGTATTTTAACCCAGGTGGTGGTGTAGTGATAGTCTGACCCAAGGCCACAACACAGCGCCATGGCAACTGGTGAGAGGCCGAGCCGAGCCGTACCCCAACACAGATCTACCTGCGCGCTGTCCATCTCATTTAGAATACAAGGTTTGTGTCCCAAATGGCACACTATTCCCTATATAGTGCATAAGGCTCTGGTCAAAAGTAGTGCTCCATATAATGAATAGGGTGCCATTTGGGACGCATCCAATGGGGTTAGTGGAGGGGAAAGTGTTATTGAATAATTGGTTCCTGATGCTTTTCCCCCTTTCCTTTGGAATATTAATTACCAAATAGGTTACATCCCAAATGACACTCTATTTCCTAGTGGATTACTTTTGACCAGGGCCCATATATTCCCCATAAACAGGGAATATGGTGCCTGCCCACTGCCATTTGAAAGACAGCCATAATCTTTTTGGTTGATATTGTGGG